TACCCCCATACACATAGTCCTATCCTCCCTCACCCCTATACACGCAGCCCTTCCCTCCTCCCCCACACACAGTTCTTCCCTCCTCCCTCACTCTCATACACACAGTCCTTCCCTCCTCCCCACCCCCATACACACAGTCTTCCACCCCCTGACATTGAAATAGTTTAATTAGCCAGAAAAACACACATTCAGAGTGGACAATAATAACATTGACATAGCTAAACCATGTGAGAGCCTGAGCCCTCTTAGTGGCACCTGTTATATACTGTACATTTATCTCAAGGAAATATTTTAAAACATTTATTATCATTTATTTTCTTCCCTTACTACCATGAACGCCATCTCTTCCACGTCTCATGCACACAGTCCTCCTCCCGCTCCTTTCTTGTACGAGTCCCGCCTTAACACACACCCCCCCTCCTCCCCCTCCATCATCATTGGTCTAGGTAAACACTAGGGTGAGATGAAGACGAAGGAGGAGGCATCACGACCCTTTGTCTCTCCCGCCACAAGTTATGGGCCTCTTGCTCTTACCCAGAGTTATGGCCACGACAGCAAGGCGGTGGTGGTGTTAGTAGTGGTTGAGGTGATGGTGGTGGTGGTAGTGGTAGATGATAGATGTGTTGGTGACAGTGGTGGTAGTGGTAGTGGCCATGGCGGTGGTAGAGGTGTTGGTCAAAGTGGTGGTAGTGGTGGAGGAAGTAGTGGTAGTGTTGATGGTAGCAGTTGGTGGTGTTAGTGGTAATGGTGGTGGTAATGAAGGCGGTGGTGGTAGCAGTGGTGATGATGATGGTGGTGGCGGTAGAGGTGTTGGAGGAGGTAACGTTGGTAGAGCTAGTGGTGCTAGGTGGTGGTGGTGGGGGGTGTGAGGGTGGAGGGCAGTGGATGGTAGTGATGGGTAAGTGTTCAGATAGGTTGGTGTGACCAGTACAATGTCACCAGCCTGACTATGGTTGAGATTTTAGAGTGAGACTGTACAGATATCTGAAAGAAACTACAAGACAGCTGTGATATGAACATAATGGGGAATAGTGAACGAAAGATTAGTAAAAACAAAAAGAGCATGATTGAGACGTGGATGATGGTAGGAGAGGGAGAATAAGACCAAGGAGGTGGAAAGATGGGAGGGACTGTAGCCAAGGCGATGGGTTCAGGCTATGGAAGACTGAGGAACCACACAGTGTCCACTATTTTATGGGGGTAGACGTAGGACGGTTGAGTGATGGCTAGTTGAGTGAAACGACAGTGTACATCAGATAAATCCTGGGGCGGCGTTGTGTAAGGAAAAGCCCATAGAAGAGCACATCTGTTACAGCAGTTAGAAAAGGAGTAACAGGGTATGTTAGTATAGCGTATGACGCTCTGGATCGGTCACTATGAGCTACTGTATGTGGAAAAGATTTGAAAAAAAAATCAGATCACCTGAAAATTAGATACTCTAGCTTATTTTATCTAAATGATTAAACACCCTAACGCTAATCTAATCCAACCGAATCGAACCCCCCCCCCTCCCCAAGTAGCGTTAGGGTGGTTAAGCATCAGGTGAAATATGTTGAAGTATTTAATCTCCAGGTGATTAAAACATCTCAGTGGCATACTAACGGAATCCAAAAACTGTGGGTACACTCAACCTGCTGTTTGGATACCTTGTAGAGTTAGACTGCCTGGAAAACACTAAACAATAACAGAGCATAATTGAGAGTTTCTGGAAATATTGTTCTCAAAGATGACATTCTCTGAGTCACAGTAAAAATCCTTGCGACAAATTCTCTAGAGATGTTTGTGTCGACGGTGAAAGATAGAATACTCTACTGAGAGTGAGGGAGTGATGACAGCAGGTAACCGTCCCACACACCATACAATGTTCTGGGTGTAGAAACTACAGGTATGTTCATCCAACGTTATATTGCAAACAATATACGAACAACGACAATTTACCAGTACAAGCTCGATTTCTATATCATCTTTAGCTAAACGATTTAGATTAGCATCTCAGATTATTTCACCTTAAATTTAACCACCTTAACACTAACCTAACCTAAGCCCCTCAGGTACCGTTAGGGTGCTTAATCATCATATGGAAAAAAGCTGGAGGCTAATTTTCAGGTGATCCGATAATTTTTCTTTTCGAACATTCCTCAAGAGTCGCATCATTCCTAGGAGGTGAAGAATATAAAGTTGCCAAGTAGTCGACTGAACCTTTCAAGACGATATTGTTTACGGCTGAACGGACGAAATTTAAGACCTGTATGATCCTCATATCTTCTTTTTAAGCAGATAAACCTAGTAAGGAGTTAACATAACATTATGAGTCAGTGAAGAATGTTCCTTTTATCGCAACAAAATATGCAAATAATTGATCTTGTTTGTTAGAATATCATAAAGGGGAGCCAGACGTATCTTGTTGACATATATGAAATTTATAGGTGTACGGTACCTGTATACACATGACACATACTAGTATAGTTACGACTTTTTCTCCGCCAAGAAACCAATGTAATATAATACAATATACAGTAAGAATAAAACATAACATAGTAAAAGTATAGTGTAATATAAATTCCTGATGTTACACGATATTAATTTTCTTGTTATTGTACTGGGCAGCGTTGGGGTTGGAGTGTTGTCAGGGAAGAGAGACGGTCGGGATGCACACTGGTGATAAAAAAAATGACATTGGACAAAATCCAATAGGACGGAATTCTAAGAAGATCTCCTGGACAAAATCCCACTGGTCTTAACTTTCAAAAAGCACAACACACACACACACACACACACAACCAATCACATCTACCCGTAAAATTACACTGACAGAGAGACAAGGAGTGGTGACAGGTAACTGGAGGGTAGGGACAGTCCTTCGTGTGGGTAGGTGTTGTATCAAATGGCTTCAGATTACTGCAGTGAGGGGAAGGGGTGGTGTACGTACACTGTTCTGTGTTGTGCAGGTGGGGAGAGAGAGACAAGCAGGCAGACATACAGGTAGACAGACAGATACACAGACAGCGGCAGACATAAATACACACACACACACACACACCACGGAAATTTTCAATACAAGAACTTGCAGGAATTTTCTCTCATGGTTCTTAATGATACCCAAATTCACTTTTCCTCTCGAGTAAGTATATTAAACACGCCACTTTTACTGACACTTATGACTCACTTATACTGCCACTTATATTACCACACCACACTGGCACTTATACTACTAATACCTATATTGCCACTTATACTGTACTAGTACACTTACAGTATACTCACCTACTTATAATACCACACTTATATTCGCCCATTTATACTACTACACTCATACTCACCCACTTATACTATTACACTTATACTCTACACTTATATTCACTTATTCTCACCCAATAATACTTTTACACTAATACTACTACACTTATACTCTATACTTCTTCTACACTTATACTACTACTTATATTCACCCACTTCACTTATACACTTATACTTATACAATATTCATCCACTTATATTTCTACATTAATACCATTACACTTATACTACTACTCATGCTCACCCACTTATACTTATACAATTATACTACTAAACTCATACTCATCCACTTATACTTCAACACTAATACTAGTACACTTATACTCTACATTTATACTTTTACACTTATACTCTACTTATACTTCTGCAATTATACTTCTACACTAATACTATTACACTTATACTGCAACAGTAATACTACTACACTTATACTTAAACTACTACACTTAAACTCACCCACTTATACTTATACTCACAACACATACTTTTACACTTATACTTCTACTGGCCCACTTATACTACTACCCTTACACTTATACTACTACACTCATACTTTTACCCATATACTCACCCACTTATACTACTACCCTTACACTTATACTACTACACTCATACTTTTACCCATATACTCACCCACTTATACTACTACCCTTACACTTATACTACTACACTCATACTTTTACCCATATACTACCCATATACTCTTATACTACTACACTACTACTTTTACACTTATACTACTACACCACTTATACTACTACCCTTACACTTATACTACTACTTTCTACCCACTTATACTACTACCCTTACACTTATACTACTACACTCATACTTTTACCCATATACTCACCCACTTATACTACTACCCTTACACTTATACTACTACACTCATACTTTTACCCATATACTCACCCACTTATACTACTACCCTTACACTTATACTACTACACTCATACTTTTACCCATATACTCACCCACTTATACTACTACCCTTACACTTATACTACTACACTCATACTTTTACCCATATACTCACCCACTTATACTACTACCCTTACACTTATACTACTACACTCATACTTTTACCCATATACTCACCCACTTACACCTTTACTACTACACAATGACGAATACTTAGATAAGGCCTAAATTGCACTGAGTCTACAGGGAGTCTTCTCTGTTACAACTTGTGTATTGGTTGGTACTGTACTGTATTTATTTATACTGTACATGAGTGTGTGTGTGTGTTAATGTGTTTGTGTGTGTGGGTGTGTGTTTCTTTATGTCATTTGCCTCTATCTACCCAGCAGTAATTGGAAACCTGGATGTTAATCGGTTTGCGGATTATATTCCGAGGTAATGGTTAGCCAGTGCAGTTGGCGAGTTGTCCGGTCTTCTCGGATTATTCTTGACACTGGGTCATGCAACTCGTTAACTTAAGGTGTGGTTGTTGTGTTGGCAACAGCTTCTACACCTCAAACAAATTCACGCCTGGGTGGCCCTAGGGCTGGCCATCCTCATTACACGAGGGGAAACCATTATTATTAATATTATTACATACGATTGTATGTACAATATGTGTATGCAAGTGTTAATGTGTGTATAAGAGCATTTGTTTGCATAATTAAGTGTACAAAGTGTATATAATGTACATCATACTACCAGGTGTAGTAGAAGCATTCAGCACTAGTGTGTGTTTACAGGCTATGCGAGGTGCTGTTATGGTAGGGGCAGTGGCGGCGGTCATGGTGGCAGCTCTGGTGGCTGGGATGGCCTCAGCTGCTAGACCCGACAACTCGGCGGCTGACACACTGCAGGCCATCCACGAGGCGGCCATGGCGGGTATCCTAGGATCAGCAGAAGTGCAGTACCCTAACAGGCCCAGCATGTTCAAGTCACCCGTGGAGCTGCGACAATACCTGGATGCTCTTAACGCTTACTACGCCATCGCCGGGAGACCAAGGTAGCTACATGGTCTATGTACTGTACATGATGAATCAATGTAATCTTGTATGTCAATTTTACTGAATACTGTATATATTTATATATCTATCTATCTATCAACCTATTTACAGATCTCAGACCTACCTAATACACCTGTATATAAATAAAAAAGATCATGAAAGAGGATAATTAGGTAAATATACTTGAATCTCGATTAAACAAATAAATAAATAAATGGATCAGAGTAACTGATAAATGAATATGTGAATAAAATAACTGAATTGATAATTAAATATAGTATGAGTAAATAAATATATGGATATGATGAAATTGCCTAGTTCATGAACTGGGCAATTTCACAAACAGGGCTAGCCCCCCACCTAAAAGTGATAGAGTAGTTAACACATTGGATGTAGTGTATATTTTAGTGTAGTTGATGAAGTAGAGATGATTGTGTACTGAATGTAGTACATATAGAGGATAGTGTAGTCACTGTAGTGGATAGATGTAGATTTGATAGTGCATTGGATGTAGTATAGCTGTTATACCCTTTCCACACTAACCTGGCCCATAAGCCCCACCCCTCTTCTATATTAATAGCTGATTGGCTCATAGAAAATTCAAACTAAATGTGTTCATAATTGGTAAGCAGAGATGTTAGTTTCTAAAATAATGTTAAATATATGGATTATCAAAAGGCAAATTATTTCAAGGCATACGCGCAATCCGCAGGGAGGTGAAACACTCAGGGGAACCAATCAGCAATTTGTATCTATAGACAAGGGACGGGGCTTATGGGCCAGCTTAGCGTGGAAATACTATAGTGTGGTCAGGGATATTGGATATGAGCTGCCCTCAAAAACAAACCTCAGTAACTCCAAGTACTCCAGCTAACCCCCTAGGTAGCATTAGGTTATTTAATCAAGTGAAATAAACTGAGGGAGCTAATCTAAAGGTAAACCAATATCTGATAAAATTCATGGCCAGAACAGTCCATATTAAACTAAACTAAATTCATGTTAAACTCAAAAAGGATCATAAAAAAATTGGAGTGCATTGAGAAAAGTTATCCATTTGGTTCAAAATAACATAAGAGGAAGACCCAGGCAATTATTTAATAACATGTTATGCCTCTTACAGGCATACCATGATGTTAATGGTAATCATGTTGAACATTTATAATAAGTTCTATGTTACATATAGGAATTAACAAAAATAACACCAAAAAAATTATGTGTACTGCAACCTAGAAATCTTGAATTACAGTATGACAAAAGAAAACCCTTTAACCGGATTAGTCTCTAAACAGTAATAAGCACCGCTCGGTGGCTGTAACTCGTTTTAGGACTGACAATACATAAGTCGCCAATCCCTTCCACACCACAGTCTCGACCGGCCTATTGTAAAGACTCTCAATTCAATGTAAACTTGCATAAAAAATTTTCTGAATATCTATCTATCTATGTTCATAGGTTGTGTTAATCCTACAGTGTCTTACCTAGTGATCTTGTGTTGCAGGTTTGGGAAGCGAGGGAACCACGGAGCTCAACGTACGGAGGAGCTCTATGACTACTGACCCACTAGTCTTACACTCATCCCTTCCACCCACACCCCCGTCATACTTACAACCTCTGATAACCAACAACCTACGACCCTTGATAGGCAATCTATCTGACAACCTACAACCCTCGCCGACCAAATCACCATACAGCCCACATCACCAGTTAATCAATCTCTTGTACAACCCACAACTCTTAACTTGTCTCTCCAATAACCTCACAACCTCTGACATCCATCATTTCACAACACAACAATCCCTTCCTGCTGCGACCCACGACCTCTGATTCCCGGCTCTTCATGCACTCAACACCTGAAGCTCTTCAGCAACCACCAGCCAGTAAGATGTCTCCCACACCCCTCTCTACTGCTGCTTACAAAAACACATCCACTTCAATGAACAAGTGGAGCTCTTTCCCACTTGCAACATGAGAGAAACACTCATGAGAGTTGGACATAGAATTTGAGTGTGATATTGATGTTAATGATGATGAAGATTTTAATTCGTGTCCGCCAAAGATGGTAACAAGTCTGCACACAAGCGCGTTGGTCTCGTCCGCCGGCCTCAACAAGGAATATTAAGTCTCGTCAAGTGATATCGCTAGAAGTACAGTCCAACCTGTCCCCTGCTGGTCTCCCTGTGTATGTGTACTAACAAGGTCTTGCCACAAAACAGCAATAGGCACTTCACACTCACCCCTGGTCTCCGTCTATCATTCAACAAGTAAGCAGTTTCACGACTAATTGAAAAGAAGTAATTTCTTCGACCAAGATCATACGTGTTACCGAAGACATCTCAGGCACCAAAAGAGGCTTCTACCTAGGGAGTTCCATCGTCACAAGTTCCCTCAAGAAATCATTTTAATGAGCTCTTCTTGGTTCGTCCAGAATATCTCAGAGGCTGAAATCATACGATTTATCTACATTAGTTACCCCCCCCCCCCCACCAAGCTATGTACTAGGAGAGTGAGCAAATAACTAATATTTTATTTTGCAGTCTATTTACACACTGTATGTTGCCAAATATTATGTACTGAGAGAAAAAAATATATGAGAAAAATAGTCATTTGAAATTTCTTATCATTCTTTCTATACCCCGACGAACATTACACACACACACACACATATATATATATATATATACTGTATATATATATATATATATATATATATATATATATATATATATATATATATATATATATATATATATATATATATATATATATATATATATATATATATATATATATATATATATATATATATATATATATATATATATATATATATATATATATATATATATATATATATATATATATATATATATATATATATATATATATATATATATATATATATATATATATATATATATATATATATATATATATATACAGTATATATATATATACCCCCTGTATATATACTGTATATATAAGACATGAATGTAGTAGGTACAGTAGTAGGCAGCTACCAAACAGGGAGGTACTACCGCCTGGGAAGATATTGGAAGCATAATGTGTTGTCTAATGGTAGACCCTGCTGCCATATGGCATCACTAAAATTGTGACCAAGTCCCAGGTTGCTGATCTGACTTTCTGCCTCATTTACACACAATTGCAGGGTCTAAATCATTTCTCCTACTATTGACAACACAACGTACATTTAGTGTTTCTCACTTTTGATCTTTTTTTTCATTTTTTTATTTATGGTTCTTTATTATTATTATTATTATTATTATTATTATTATTATTACTACAGACTTTTTATTATTATCATTATTATTTTAATTTTTATTATAAATTTTATTTACTATGAATTATTATTATTATTATTAAATTTTATTTACTATGAATTATTATTATTATTATTATTATTATTATTATTATTACATTTTCGCCCCCCAGGCTCCGATGTGGGTCAGTGACCTGTGCCCGAGTGGGTTAATTCCCATAAAAAATAAATAAAAAAATAAAAAAATTAAATAGTGTAAATAAATAAATAAATATGAATACAGTACTGTAATTATTTTTCATTTTATTGAGCATAATATTAGCATACTGTTTACAACTTTACATATTCATACAGGGTATACTGTATACATACAATGATCATGTATTATAAATACACTTTACAACTTTTACTTGTTCATTAATGAACAAATGGAGCAGTCAAGTGTATTAGACCCAGGTTTATATTACAGAATGTCCTATAACGATATATAATATGCATATTTTTATGTCACCTTTTCTTTCCTTCTGTATGCCTTCTGCCACTAGGAAGCCATGTCTTCACATAGTCTTCGGGGGTCTAATTTTGATAGAGGTAGCCCCACTAACTTGATTAAAGAGAAGAGTTGAAGGATGATCAATTTGAAGTCGTGCACCCTTGTGGTAATATACTGTACAGGGTACATACATTCCATTGAAGCTTCTTTCACATTCTGCTTCGATATCATTATCCCCAAAGGTAAAACTTGAATCTTCTGGAATATTGTGATTAAATATATTGACTGGGTAGTCAATATTTCATAGTGTTGATCAAACTCATCAAAAACTGTTATTGGTGTAAGAGGTCTGTCCAAAAAGAAACCAAACTTTTCAAATAGCGCGCAAACGAGCCGGCGCAGCGTGCTGTGTAGCGGTGACCTTGACCTTTAGTCTAACACTAGCTGCATCACGCCATGTCAATTAGTCATCAAGCTACACGCGCTAGAATGAACGTGTGTTTAGTGCACTTGGCGATTTGTTGCAAGTTGAACAATGAATGATCTTGAAGAGCAACATGTTTGCGTGAAATTCTGTTTAAAATTAGGAAAAACTTTTAAGGAGACTTTTCAAATGTTGCAACAGGCTTATGGGGAGGATTGTTTGAGCCGTACGCAATGTCACGATTGGTACCAGCGTTTCAAAAGAGGAAGAACATCCACCGAAGACTATCCCAAATCTGGACGTCAGAGTTGCTCAAATGTGGAGGTGATGTTGATCGTCTTTTTTTATTGGAAGGGCGTCGTTCATCATGAGTTTGTTCCACGCGGTCAGATAGTCAATAAAGAGTTTTACTTGGAGGTTCTGAAGCGTTTGAGGGAGGCAGTGCGAAGGAAGAGGCCTGAGGCGTGGACAAACAAGACCTGGATGCTGCACCATGACAATGTACCCGCTCACGTGTCGCTCTCTACCCGTGACTTTTTGGCAAAGCACGAGACGACTATCGTCCCCCAGCCGCCCTTCTCTCCAGATTTGGCCCCTGCGGACTTTTTTTTGTTCCCAAAGTTGAAATCCACCCTGAAAGGTCACCGATTTCAGACAATAGAAGAGATAGAAGAAAATTCGCTACGAGACCTGCACACCATCCCTCAAAACGCGTTCCAGGACACGTTCCAGAACTGGAAAAAAACGTTGAGAGCGGTGTATCAACAGTGGAGGGGAGTACTTTGAAGGAGACAAATCTGATTAAGTTGTAAGTAAAGCAATAAATTTGTTTTTTAAAAAGTTTGGTTTCTTTTTGGACAGATCTCGTATAAAAGGAATTTTTGTATATATTCCTCTAGATCAGTGCCATCTTCAGAGCTGAGAGTCCGATCCAACGATTAACACCAGGGGTGAAGTAGCCCCAGGACATTACGTGGTGGTCGCCATCAGTGTTGCCAAGTGGGGAGGTCGGTTGAGCATGACCACAAAACCACCCCTTCTCTCCCCCCCACCACCATCCTCCTTCACCACGAATTGCTGCACAGTCTGTGTGAAGTAAGGTGACTCTCTTCACTTAATCACTCTACTGTATATAACTTAATTCTGACTTACTATAGTACGAAATTCATTATAATTTACTATTAATTATTATTATTAGTAGCAATATTGTTGTTGTTGTCTTTATTTTAGGTAAAAGTTTACCATGCTTACACATATTAACTACAGCATTTGGCACTTTATGTGAAAGAATAAAAGTTGTTTGTTTCCATCTCAACATTATGATAGATGGGCAGTAGATTAAGTAATAATGGTTGAAGGTAGGAAAATTTTCAAAAGAAGTTGAATACACTTTTTAGCGAAAAAAATAAAAAAAATTTAGCCGACCAGGGGTCACATTTAACATTCCATAGCCCGACCAAGTACGGCTTAAATTGTCTAAATGGCGACGCTCACCAGCACTTCCTTAATGAATTGTTCTACTGTACTGTCAATACTGTCAACTAGACATTCATCAACCTGTTTGTTGTAATAGTGCCCTGGGAAGGTAATAAACAACTTTAATCTGTTACATAATGTGCTCAATGCCATAGTTAAGGAAGACAAGGAAGATAAACTATTATCTTAATACAGTATAATAACTGACATTTTTAGTATTGGTATTATTATATCTATTAATATTATGGATACCATCAGTATTACTATCATTACCATACAGAATTATACAGTACTTATTTTAATTTCATTAGAATAACTTTATTCTTATTACAGTATTATTATTCACGTAACTTGTCTTTACAATTACAGTACATTTATTATTATCATTATTTTTATTATAATAATTTTCATCACTTGATATTGCAAGTGCAGTACTACACATCATATGCTATTTAAATTACAATATTATAATCATTATTACTATTATCATTACCGGTACTATTTGATTTTTTATTACTATAATCATTTTTATTATTTTATTATTATTATTATTACCACCATCACTATTTTATCATTACTGTATACGTATTAATATTTACTATTGCATGTTTTTGTTGATATTATTATTATCATTAATTTATTATTATTACTGTATGATTATTATTATTTTTATTATTATTATTATTATTATTATTGTCATCATCATCATCATCATTGTAAGCACAATTTCCACATTTACTTGGTTGTGGTGAGAGTTGTTAGAACGATTACACCTGTATACGTACACTGATCCTCCCAACAAGTACAGTATAAGTGATGCTCAAGTAAAAACTTCAACACTTACTAAATGGTGCTGTGTCGTGGTCTCTGTCCACCGTGGTGAATGACTGGCCATTGTGGTAGGTAAGGTCATCACCCAGTGAGCTACTGCTGGAGTTGTACTGCTGTAAAGTAAGCCGGTACCTGAAGGGAAGATGGCTGTCATGTATAAAACTAAACTTGTATAGTACATATAGTGCTGATGAAAATGTAATAATATAACAAGGCTTAACAGTATGGATACAACTAAGTGTAATGTTATGAGATGACAGGACAGTATGGAACAAAACAGAAGGTGAGGGAGGAGAGTGGTGATATACCTGTTGTCCTCATCAGCTACTTTAAACACTTGCCACTCTCCATATCGCTGTTCTCCCTGCAGGTTGGTGGCTTCCACCCTCAGGCGGTAATGTTTCTCTCCATCAGTCAACGCATTAAGTTTCTCATTTCCTGCAAGTGAACACGATAACCCATCATACCTTGGCTGATGGTATATAAATAAACATGCATTGTGTGATGTTATCAAAATAAGCCATTGGTAGTGTACTTAAAGCAAAACTAACTCCAACAATATATAAGACAACTTGCTTACCTAGCCAGTGTTCTCCTTCAAGGTCCCCGAAGCCCTCCTTGTAGTCTTGCCAAGACCTCGTAAAGTTCTCTTGTGGAGTTTGACGGTGACGAACAAGGAACACTGTCCATGACCGGCCCTCTTGTACCTCACAGTAAACCCTCACACCTGCTGGTGAACTGACAAACACCCTCATTATAACTACACAACTCTAGTACCTCACATATCAACACTGGTCCTTCATTAACAATGACTGGTCATTCATCATTATTGACTGGTCACTCCTCACCACTGACTGGTCACTTCTCACCACTGACTGATCACTCCACACTACTGACTGATCACACCCCACCTCTGACTGGTCCACTCCTCACCACTGACTGGTCACTCATCACCAATAACTAGTCACTCCTCACCACTAACAGGGCACCCCTCACCATTAACTGCTCACTCCACACCACTGACTGATCACTCCTCATCACTGGCTGGTCAGTCATGCATTAATTCGGTTTTATATCTTTAGCTATTAGATTATTAAGGTGATTCATGTCATTCAATGTATTAACAGCTAAACTTATTCAATTAAATCTGTTAGTTTCATAATGGTAGTTTATCCTGGTCCTCAGTGAATGTTATTACTGTATTAATATAACAGGGTAATCTAACATAACCACAAGTAAGACCTTTCTATGTCGGACTAAATGGGGGTCAAGGCTCTCTGACATATATAAAATTCCAATTATACATAACTCCCACCTAGGTGTTTCCAACCATCATTCTGCTGGAAAATCTCATCCAAAAACAAAATTAAAGTTACCAGTATACTTTTACACTGCACTTGCTTTTATTTAGGTGGAGGACGATGGAGGCTACTTACAGTACGTATGTATTCACAATTATGTACAGTATAATATTTAGTTACATTTATATAGTATGCACCTAAATCTAGCTGATGTCATAAAATGTACAGTTATCCACCCAATATGATAAACAGAAAGCCAAATTTGCTATAATGGAAATTTTGGTAAAAATGTTAATATATTAAAGAAAAAAATACAAAGTTAGCATTTTCCTCCACCCTCCCTCCTCCCAAATACGAAAAAAATGGCTATATATATATATATATATATATATATATATATATATATATATATATATATATATATATATATATATATATATATATATATATATATATATATATATATATATATATATATATATATATATATATATATATATATATATATATATATATATATATATATATATATATATATATATATATATATATATATATATATATATATATCAAGAACAAAATATACCAAAATTTATCAATGATTTCATCAATATTAAGCTTCTGCAAAATAACACATTCAATGTTCATAAGAGACAGAAAATTGAGACGTTGCTAGGACATCGTTGAACGAAGTTCATGTTTTATATGCTTCAACTTCGAGAATGTTTGGATTTGGGGGCCCCTTAGAGTCGGGGGGCCTGAGGCCAGTGCCTCAAGTGCCTCATGATTAATCTGGCACTGCTAGTGAAGCAGTGAATATGAACAAAAGACAAAGTGGGCAAAGCAACAGTTGTGACAACAAACATGTGGGAGCTTACATGTGCCCAAGTGTGCCTCAAACAGCCACCATGTGACCACCACACTATTTGCCTCAAAGCCAGAACCTCGTCTGACTTATGGGGATTTCCAACTTACAGAAGTCAGAGTTAAGACAGATCTTACTATATTAACAACAAGGTAATTTAACATGTAACACAAAATCATCTTACCTATTGGGGTAGATGGTGTAGACTCCACTCTCCCTCCCTCCCTCCCGGAACACATCCTCACAGTCGTTTACAACTCTGTTGGCCATGAGACAACATAACAAAGATGCTCATCAGTACAGGGTATACTGTATTACATCATATAGGCACAAGTTCATCTAAAGTTAAACTTATCACTTGTAATAATAATATATATATATATATATATATATATATATATATATATATATATATATATATATATATATATATATATATATATATATATATATATATATATATATATAAAATATAATAAAATGGTGATAAAAAAATACAACCAAACCTGACCTAAACCAGTGGTAACATTTTCTAACACATATCTCCTCTCCCATTGGTAACACTAACACAAATCCCCCAACTGGTAACACTGTGTAACACACATCTCCCCTCACCTGGTAACACTATCTGGCACATATCTTACTTCTCAATGGTAACACTGTTTAGCTCACATTTCAATATCCAAATGAATAAAGTGGTTATTTAACTAACCGTCGTGATGGGTTTTGGAGACGCCTTTCAAGATTGTTCGTTTCTTCATCCAGCCTCAGGATTTGGCGTGTGTATTGTGTTACCTGAGCCTCACACACCTGTATTGTGCTGCCTTTTTCTTGTAGTATTTGTTGCTGATTGAGTATTGTGTCATCTTTCTCTCGTAAATTTGTTTTTTGATTGTATATTGTGTCGTCTTTCTCTTGTAAATTTTGTTTTTGATTGTATATTGTGTTGTCTTTCTCTTGTAGTATTTCTTGTTGTATATGTATCGTGTTGTTGTTATTTTGTATCATTTGTTGTTGAATGTGTATTGTGTTGTCTTTCTCATGTATAATTTGTTGTTGATTGTTTATTGTGTTGTTGTTAATTTGTATTGTTTGTTGTTGATTGTGTATTGTGTTGTCTTTCTTATGTATTGTTTGTTGTTGATTGTGTATTGTGTTGTCTTTCTCTTGTATTGTTTGTTGTTGATTGTGTATTGTGTTGTTGTTAATTTGTATTGTTTGTTGTTGAATGTGTATTGTGTTGTCTTGCTCATGTATTATTTGTTGTTGAATGTGTATTGTGTTGTCTTTCTCTTGTATTATTTCCAGGTTCATGAGGAGCTGGTCAGTCTTGTCCTGGTTGTTGGCCTCCAGGGTAAAAACCTTGTGCTGGAGTGCCTCAAATTCTGTTAAAAAAACATGATACAGTACTTCCATAAATAATAATATACTGTACTATATTGTAAAGGTACCATCCATTAATCATTAATAATCTATGTTGTCCTTTATATTATGAAAAATAGTTTATGTATAAAAATTATTATTGAGTAATTAAATTTCTAAACTACAGCACCTACTCCTACAAGTACTGTACATGGTAATGTATCTTATTACTACTTATCATTATACCAGGTAGTAAGCAGCTATCAAAAAGGGAGGTACTACTGCCTGGGAAGATATTGGAAGCATAATGTGCTGCCATATGGCATCACAAAAATTGTGACCAAGTCCCAGGTTGCTGATCTGACTTTCTGTCTCATTTACACACAATTGCAGGGTCTCAACTGTTTCTTACTACTGACAACACAACATGCTGTACCTACAGTATATTGTTTCTCGCTCTTGATTATAGTTATTATTATTATTATTTATTATTATTATATTTTCGCCCCCCAGGCCCCAATGTGGGTTAGTGACCTGTGCCATGTTGGGTTAATCCCCACCCCCCCCCCACAAAAAAAATCTTTATAAAAGGTTAATTTAAAACAAACACAGACTTGTGAGACAAGAGGAAAAATCACCTTGTTTGTATTCCAATAGGTAGGTAGTGAAGGTCTGGGACATCTTGCTAATCTCTGTAAGTACAGTACTGTAGATGGTTAACAATACACTAACTTGCAATACCATAATATATTAAAGCTACAGGGTAACAGTATGTGTCAGACAAATCTATTTCCAACAATTATACACTGTAGCCCTCACTTTTGAAATCACTCATAATTTGTAATGATTTTCTGTTACAAAATAACTGTACAGGTACACATTACAAATTTTGTAATACAGTATCTGGTAAAATTTCAAAATACTCTTTAGACTAATATCAGACTGTGCTATTCCATAAAAGCATAAAATTCATAAATATAATACTGTACTTTACAATTACAAGACAATCTTAACTTATTCATTACAAACTAATTTATTAAATTATGATAGCTATTTATCTCATCTCATTAAGGCGAACAAATCTGATGTCCATTCTATCCTCACCAGATTAATAATTAATAATCTATCACCACCATTTACTGTATACATCAAACAAGTAAATCAAAGATTACAAACAATAATAACTGTACTGAGAAATCAATACCTTATCCTTTGTCTAGAGTCAAGAGTTAGCAAAAAAGCACTAAGGCCCCATACCACATAATGCAAGTTATGTATGTATAAAAAACTTATAACTTAAGTACTGTACTAATGCAAATATTCAAATTGGATTCATCAAAGAGAGATGAACATTTTGAAGACCGAGGAATGCACAAAAGAAGAACACTTGACACAAAATGAAGTTATCACAAGATTTTGGAGGATCTTTTTTTCTCATCATTGAATAATTTTAAAGTTAATACAATACAGGTATAAGCAATGTTCTGCATAAGGTAAAACCACAAATAATTTATACATTAGAAAATTTTTCTGGATGACAAGTAAGGAAAAAGAGCTACAAATACATTAAAAACAAGTAAAAACTAATGTGCCAAAACATGTACAGTATTGTGTTTTGCATGAGTCCAGAAACATTATTATGAGAACCTAGATAATTTGTATTGTGGAGTCCAGATAACATAAGTTTTGCAAGCCCAGATAACATGTGTTGTGTGAGCCCAAATAACACATATTGTGTGAGCCCAGATATCATGTATTGTGTGAGCCCATCATGGTACAATAATGCTTCTTATGACATAATGATACCTCTACCACGATCACGGCACAAAAGTAGCGGGTCTTCTGTAAGTTGAGGAACATTACCTTGTGTGGCTGCTGTCAGTCCCCTCAAGGTCTGCGACATATCTGCCAACAAGTAGATAATAGAAAACAATATATATCATGTTAATAGTACATTCTTTTTTGATTATCATTATGAGCCAGACAGTTGACCATTACTAGGGAGGAGAAACAAATTATTGTGTCCAATATGATAATGATAGTGGTGTTGTAACTTGTTGTACAGCCTTAAGAGAGAACCTTTAAACACTTATCATCTTGCTATTCAAAAAACATTAACCATTTGTCATCTTCTTAGAGGCAATCTAGGAGGACAAATAAACATTTATACTTATGTGCACATTTTTAACCAAATCTCCATAAAAATTTAAATATAACACATCACAAAATTTGTGAGCTAAGAGAAGCAAGTATCACCTTGTTTGTATTCCAACAGGTGGGTAGTGAAGGCCTGGGACAGATCTTTGAGCAGCGTAATAGTCTCTGCAAGTAGAATGTTAACAATATTATGCTCTCACTTCCTTTGTACTGTACTACCTTAATTATAAAAACTATTAGTGAGGAGATAAAAGTTCACTATCAGTAGTAAGTACATGCCTTAAAATCCTAGAAAGATTTATATTAAAAAACATCAACCCAAAAATCCCCTTAGCTTGTCCCCAATGGTTCTAGGACATTTCACCGGTTAATTATAATCCTAAACTAACCTAACTTAACCACAACTTCATTACTTCCAAAATAAAAGCATTATCATCTAAATTTAATAGTAAATATAAGTCATCCCAGGCAGTAGTACCTCCCTGTTTGATAGCTGCCTACTACCTTTACCTGATGACTTATTTTTTACATTCATTTACTGTATCTTGTCATTCTCTTTCTTCCTTTTTCTTAAATTAAGTAATTTTAAACATTACCATTACTTTAATTCAAGTAAATAAATATATATCAGTACTTTACCCATATCTGGAAAAAACATACACACACATAAAATGAACAAGCATGAACACAAGCAAAGGCTCTTTCTTGAAACAGTTGTAATGGAGAAAGATAAACCTTATCAGTGCTTACCTAGCTGTCCTTCAGGTAACTTCTGCACAGTGCTGTTTGTGGAATGGGTATCACCCTCTAGTAAACTATCTTTGTGAGCTTTGAACTGGTCAATGAGTGTATCATTTTGGTGGGGGATGCTGGAAGCCAGGAGGCCCCTCACCAAAACTAACATTGCAACAAACAACATCACTCTGTAACTGGGCTCTCTGAAGCACTAGCTATCTTATATACAACTGGAGGCAGCCTGGTCATAGTTGCCAAATATCAAATGTACATTAAGTTCAAAGTGTCACTTGCAAACAAACAAACAAACACTTCTACCACTATTGACCATAAGCATACAAGCCTAAGTCCTGATTTACAAAGATTTCATACGTTCACTACATCGTGATGCCCGAAGTGAACATCCTCACTCTTCATCTCATAGCCAGCGTGCCTTCTTGACAGTTGATCGCTGGGCATAGGTGTGACTAGTTGGTGGTTCCTCACTGTACTATGTGTGTTGTTGAAATTGAATACACTAAATTTTTATAACTGTGTCTGCAATGGACCCTTTCCAGTTCACATAGTCATTAAGAGTCTGCATAATGCTCTTTTGACTAGATAATGTTCTGTCATCACACTCTTACTTGTGTAGTGACAACTATGTTGTACAAGTGGGAGTTATTGGTGGAATTATCTCATCATCTTCTCTACAACTCCCTCTTACACACCTTCTACAGGCTTTAAACTGCAGGTGCTCTACAGTGACAACAGCTACTTATATGTGTGATGAGTGCATGGTGAGGATGTGTAGAGGGTATGATTAGTATGTGTGGTGAGGGTGTGTTTGTGTGGTGAGGGTGTGATGTGAGGTTGCAGTGAGGGTGTGTGGTAAGGTTGTAGTGAGGGTGTGTGTGTGGTGAGGGTATGAGGAGTGTGTGTGGTGAGGGTATGAGGAGTGTGTGTTGGGAGTGTGTATAGTGAGGGTGTGAGGAGTGTTTTTAGTGAGGATAAGTGGTAATGGTGTGTGTGGGAGGAGTTTGTGTGAGCTTTTTGTGGTAAGGGTGTGTGTGTTACGCATGTAATCTGAAGATGTGGTGTACTGTATGTGGTACATATGCATGATAAGCTGGTGATGAAGGTGTGGTGAGTGTGTGTGTGTGTGTGTGTGTGTGTGTGTGTGTGGTGAGTGTGTGTGTGATGAGTGTGTGTGTGTGTGTGCATGTATGTGTGTGTGTGTGTGTATTACTGTACATACACACACAGTGACAAAATAAAAATGTCAGTATCTTGGCAAGAGTGCAAGTGGTTTGTTGTGTTGTGTATGAATGGATCACATGGTACAGGGGATAATGTTACAGATAATATGTGAAGTGTGGGGTTGGAGACCAGTGATGATAGGCGCTTGGCCTTGAAGCCGTGTCATATCTCCTGTTGCATGATACTTTGGAAAGACTCACTATATCACCATCTCTAAGCCGTGCATATTGTTAATGTTATACAGTATCACATGACCGAGAGTTGTATTCATATACTGTACATATACAATAGTAGCCTTCTATGTCCGGTAGAGTGAACTTCCTCTAATTCAGACTAATTAGGGGGAAGGCCTGTCAAGTTTGGCAAAATTCTGGGTTGGGAAGGCATTTGTACAGTACTGTATCTGTTGCAAGGTGAAAAATTCCAGAGGATGGGGGATTTTTTACTCAAGCTACCCAAGAGCCCCAAACCTACTGAAATTTTTAGCCCAAACTTAACACTCTGGGTTTTTATAAGCCATATGAACATTTTTCTTTTTTAGCTTAGGGTTTTAACATTTGTGGGGAAAAAAAATTAATTTTCCTCAGTCTCATATGATCTCGGCAGGTCTCAGTACAAATGTACTCAGCCGCCGCACTGTCCTGGCAAGTCACCAAGCAGCAGGTGTTGCTGGGAGCTCTCATATGTCTGGCAGTAGTGTGTACTGTCTCAGCTCTATCACAGTCAGCTCCATTCAAGCTTTATGCCCCCAAAATACCTCTATTTGATGGCCAATATCGAATAGATTTTTTGTTTTTATGTATATTTATTTAGATAAACTATTCAGGATTAGTTTGGTATAAAATTAGTGTATCTAACTTAATTAGAACTGATTTTATAGACTCCGGTATATACTGTACATTTCTTATGTTTATTCATAAAGGAATTGAATTCCCATCATTATGTCGTGTCGAATACAGGTACTGTATTTTGTTTCAGGACCTTCTTTTAAACAATCTGGTAGAGAATTTATTAAGGATCATTATGGTACCAAAGTCATTTTTTAACACAATTAGAAAAGATGCAACAGATAAAGGTTTACACTGCCCCCTAGCTTAACATGGGTTTGTTCAATGCGGATTCACTTGAACACAGCTTTTATATTACTACCCTGTACCTGGTATTGCTTAACGTGAGTTGAGCCAAGCTAACACAGGAAAATTTGGCCAAACGTGATCAGGTAGAAAATGTATTACGCGGGCCAACGGTCACAAGTGATCATCCACCATCCCCTGCACCTGGCCAGGTCCTTTCTGCACGGCAAGCCACATGAGGTGGAGAGGGGGAATGACTGACTTGGAGGAGGGGGTGAGGAGTGGAAGGGTGGTATGTGATGCAAATTGCTCATCAGAGAGGGAGGAAATTGAAGAAAGCAGGGAAATTCATGAAAGAAGGAAGGGAAGGATTGGATGTCAGCTTTTTTTTCTCACTATTATTTTGGGTTTACATGCTTGAAAGAGTAACAAATGAGGACCCATATTTTAAGATTACCTGTATTATAATGTGCCATCCATTTCCTTATTTATAATTTTTTCAGGTTGTGGTCCAGGTTTTAAACAATGGTAATTAGATATTTACAATAACATTGATGACATTTAAATCAGACAACTGTTCTAACACCAAAAAATAAAAAACCTTATTCATTTCTTATACAATGGAGGGTTTGGATGTAAAGAAATGGAGTGGATAAAAAAAATACAAAACTACGTCTGGGTGCATAGCTGAGGAGATGAGGTGGAGGGAGGGAGTGCTGGCTGGACTGAGAGGACAACTCACCTCCCGCGCTTGTCAGCCCGTGATCCTTTTACAATTACGGTACAGTGTGCAATTTCACTATAATTTCTATATTATTTAGGTTTATTTGGTACCGGGCCAATAAAACATTATTGTAAAAAATCAACTTTCCCAAAATATTCACACACTGAACCATAGATGAGTTATTGTGTCGTAATATATTTCCTATCTCTTGTTTACAGAGCCCTAACAATTTTGCCAGCAGTCACCATCTTCCAAGCACAATTGTCACTGCTGAAGAGGGTTGGTGCTTACCACAGATATGTCTTCAGCACTTTGTCAATAATAGTTTATTTATCAGCACTTAATAAATATTATTATACAGTAGTGTATAATGCATCCCCATATGTCCTGGTTTATTCACCGATCAGATGTTTAAGTGTACAAGTAGCAAAATCAAGCTATCATGTATCATTCAGAGGTAAGGTAAGAAATGAAGTTGTTATGAACATACTGTATTGTACTTGTACTGTATCTCCATATCAAATACTGTACAGAGCAGTACAGAATATTATAATGAACCCATTGTAAACTGATTTCCTGAAAGCTCTCTCTCCAGGAACACAACCTGAGCTCTCAAAGGGTACAATATTGCTGTACAAGTTGGAGTGCATATACCCCTAATTACATTCATTTTTATGGGGATAATTCCTCATTATAAAATACTACACTCAAAGTCCCGCTTCTCGGGAACACATCCCTGATATATAATGAAGACCCCTAAACTAAGATGCACAACCATAGGATCCCATAATATTTATCACAAGTATGTAAGCTAAATATTACTATTTATTTATTACCTGTTTCTAAACTAATTTTCATCCATTATATGTCACCCTTTTCTAAGCTACTTTTTACCCATTATTTGTTAATCCTTTTATCAGCTAATTTTTATTTATCACCTGTTTGTAAGCAAGTTTTTCTTCATTATCAATCCCCTGTAGTACAGTATGTCAGCTAAATTTCAAATTCTACATCATTATCTATCACTGTGTCCATGCTAATTTACTTTAATAATTTACCAGCTGTATTCAAGCTAATACTTAATCCATGTCTTTGTTTGGTAGAACAAGTAATGGATAAAATAATAATAATTCCTCAAATACATACGTTCATAACATAATCATAGTATTATTTTACAGTAATACTACACTACTTTTAGCAATACAGTATTACTTTGATACAACATGATAAAATAAAAAAAACAATGAAAATGAAACAAACACAAAAGTAGGTAATTACATTCAGGAAGCTTCCCTGTGGCCGAGCTGTGGTGTGACAGGCAAATAGTCCCACCGGAACCTGATAATCGGAGCTGGGCATTTACACAGTGGCGGGATTAGGTGGATGTTCTGGAACTTCATCCGGGGTGTGCTGGTTGGACGTTCTGGAACGTCACCTGAGGCCGAGGGGCTAAAGATGAGTGAAAATCTATTTTTGATAGAATAAAGAAATGAAAAACTAAATTGAGACGAAAGTGAAAGTGCATGGTGAGTGGTAGGGATGAAGTGAGGCAGACGAGAGGCGGGCGGTGTGCGGTGTCAAAGCAACCACCCTCTCACATCAGATGATTTCTAGTAAACAGACCATTTCACCTCCCGTAATTTTAGCCGTGTTGATTTATGAGTGCTTGCTGCATATATATCATTATGCACCATTCTTTCTTTGGATATTAAAAATGTGTAAAAAAACCATAGAAAATCACAAAAAAAAATCTAACCAAATCAGGGGGGGATACAGGGGGCTCTGATTAAGTTAGGTTAGATAGAACGGTGCACTAATGTTAAAAGAGCAAATCTTTTCTCAGCAACAGATCAGAGGAATGAGAAGAACAATGGATAGGAAAAAAGGTTCTGGAGGTGCCGTTGGTTGACAGAGAATCACGATGGACTGTGGTGTCGGTATTGTAACAGACCTTAGTGATTCCTTATGGTGTTAACAGTGTCCTCTACCATTACCCATAACACTACTTCCTCAGGTATTTGTTTATGGCAAATCATAATGACCGCTGGAGCAGCTGAGTGTGTTGTTTGCCATCGGAGGTCAAGCGAGTGTTGGGTAATAAACTCTTGATCAATATTTAATTATTGATTATAGATTATCATTTGAAGATTTATTTTACAATTATTTATTGTTTTAATATTCTTATAGTGATAAAATAAAAATAATTCGATTATAATAAGGGAGGATACTACAGATTCTCATTAGCTTCAATCTCCACCTGTCCACTTATCACAGTAGTAGTAAGGGTAAAGAGTCGTTTTTTGTCCATCACCAAAACTACTAACATAAATAATTTTTCTGAGTGAATTTTGTGTTGTTTCAAGCGAAAATGTGGGGTAAAATACTAAAAGGAAAACCAAATAAATCTTTGAAAATCAGATCTAACCTTTCCTAACCTATAAAAAAGCTAAAATTATAAAAAGCTTACCCGGTACTTTATTCGTGTTATCGGATATTTAGTGTGTGTTGTAGTGGTGTTTTCGGTGTACAAATGAGGCGGAGACCCATGAACTCGAGAGCGATTTCCTTTTTTACAGGTTAGACTAGGAAACCAGCGGATATATGGGAGGGGGTATCCTGGGGTCCGGTCCCCCCCCCCCCCTTTTTCACTAGAAAATTCCAATACCTTTTCTTTAATGCTGTATTATACTCAGGCGTTTTTGTATAGTAAAAAGTAATTACTATTGACCTCAGAATATCTCTTTTTCTTACTTTTATTTTTATCCTCTTCGCCACTGATCGGCTCGTTAGCCGCTTGGGCAGTCGGTCACGTTTCAGTTGCGCACTGTTAGCGAGTACTGGGCATGTACTGGCTCCTGAATTTATCTGAACTTGATTCAGAACTGGTCAAGTCTGGTCTTGCAATAGCTCACACTTAGCCCTGCCACAACACTCTTTGGGAGGCTATTCCAAGAGTTCGCAGGAATATCAAAACGGGGGTCCAAGTTGTGGGGTGGGGGATAATGGTGAGCGCAGTGACGTGAGCCCACCCAGCTTTTTTTTTGGGGGTGGGGAGGGGGTGGGGAGGGGGGGAGCGTTGTAAGCCCACCCCATATGTTTTTTTAAATCTGAGCAATATCATGTTCCCCCACCCACCACTTCTTGGAATCCTCCCCTCCCTTTTGATATTCCTGGATCCGCCCCTGCATATGTGACCTACTCTACTTGACAGTATGGGTGTGTGATAACAAGAAATTCTTAAAAGTACAGAAACTCTCTTAATGTGAATATTCTGTGTAGCGTAAATGTCGTGTAAATTCCTGGAGTAACTGTTTAAGGTACTTCATGTATATGATATGAGGTTGAAACCGAAACAGATGGCAATTAAGCACAGTATATAACTAGGAATACTGTCACCAAATTCCATCACCCAAAAAGGTAAAATTCTTCTAGGTTCTTACCATGATGCACATATTTGATTTTTCAATGATTTTTAATGACTATGAGAACCCTGACGTGGAGATTTTGAGGTTGAAAAGACGACTGAAGAAGCACGAGTTACATGAAGAGTTAGGTACCGCTACTTATAGAATGTATTTCAGGCCATTTATGGTAAAATATAATTTAATTTAGGGAGAAGTACTGCTTATATAGTGCCCTTTGAGCGAGAAAATACAGAAACAGGCTAAATACATAAATAAAACCACACCTTCACTCAAAGTGTGACCGACCCTCGCCTCCACATGTTTAACTGGACCAACCAATGTTAGGTTAAATCACCTTATGTTTGGATGCGTTGACCTCCCCCCCCAACACACACGCCACCTACCGCACCAACCCACACATTCACGACCTACCCACACACCCCACCAACCCACACACACCACCTACCTACAAACACCTATCTGCCCACACACACACACACCCCACCAACCAGTGCCGGATTTTTAGGCACAAATTAAGTAAGCTACAGCGTAGGGCCTCACATTATAAGGGTTAATTTTCAGGTGAAAAAAAAGCTGGGGTGTCTAATTTCAAGTGATCCATAAACCCTGTGTTTATAGGAAATAGTCCAGTGAGCAGTGCCTAATAACCACGGAAGTTAAAGTACCTTAGACAAATATTAACATGAACAACAACAACATAAAGGCTCTTCAATTTCTTTACCGACATCCTCTGTAAGTATTTTGCTTCCTGAAGCAACCCCCCCTCTCATTGTTAACTGAAAAAAAAACGGATCAGAGATACAGAAATATGCAAGTACGAATCCCGGATATATGACCTAGTGATCACTGCTTTTGACTTCCTCACAGCCGTTGCGATTCCTGGTTGTATCATTGACTGACTGAGGCAGCTGGAGATAATTCTTCGTGACCAGTGAAGAGAGATGATTTACAGTTCTCATTTATGAGAATCCGGCTCCCCGTGTACAGTACCAGACCAGTCTATAGATATTGGTCAGCTTAGGGCAGTTCATACCCGGGGGTAGGTACTAGCCTCGAGTGTAAAATGGCCATGGCCTGGTGCTACCACGGGACTGATCCTGGTCTATAACACAACCTATACCGTAGGATACATTATAGGCTAGTATCTACCCCGGGTATAAGTTAGCCTGTAGGCTAAAAAATACCCGGTTTAAAATTGTCGGGGTGTAATCTGGTTTGTTGGACTGGTTTCCACAGAGCTACGACCTTCATAAACACTCATCAACTTCAGATCTGCTACAGCTGTTGTTAGTACCTACAAGCATGCATACGCCCCCCCCCCTCAAAAAAAAAGGTGATGACCGAATAGGGTAAAGCTTTTCTGGTGGTGACCTCCGCCGTCAGACAGGTAGAGAGTAGTTCCGTAAACACGTATATCTTTTGACATTTTGTAACAGTAAGGAGCTAAATGATAGTACAGTACCAGGAGTTATATTTTTGTTACATGTTTTCAATGAGAACTACCACTTACTGTCTACTGTTTTCTTATACTTCTTGGTGAAGCTTTTCAACGATAATTATCTACTGTCTTCTCGCAAATTTTGTTTCAAAACTTCAAAGGCAGTGTTGTCTCCTTAATCTACTATTAACTTCTCATCTTTCTTAGTCAACTCTTTCAGGCTTAAGAGTTTGAGTGGGCATTTCGCTGCTTGCATCGCAAATTTTAAAGCAAGTATTGGAATGAACGACTGAGAAACACAATGGCTGTTTTGGGGAGTAGCTGCCACACAGGTATTGTTAAAGATCATCGCAGGGAAACGAATGTGACTTATAGATCTATCCTATGCAACGTTCACCCTGACCTTTGACTTACTAACCTGAAAATCGATGGGTACGCTCCCAGGTACTAAAGAACCTGTATGACAAGCTTGGTGAAGGCCCATCCTAAGTGAGCAACGATATAGGACGGAGACGAAGGTGTGACGGACGGACATGTACACGCAAGGTACTACACGGACCTTACACTAAGCCATGGTAATAATTCGCTGTATTGGCGTAAGATGGCAGATTTCGAGGCAAGATAGAGGAGTGGCTGTGACAGGGCAAGCAAGGTACAGTTACGGAGTTGGGTGGACGGGTGGAGTGTGGTGACGGGGTTGGATGGAGAGGTGGAATGTGGTGACGGGGTTGAGTGGACGAATGGGGTGTGGTGACGGGGCTGGGTGGACGAGTTGGCTGTGGTGACGGGGTTGGATGGACGAGTTGGGTGTGGTGACGGGATTGGATGGACAGGTGGGGTGTGGTGACGGGGTTGGATGGAAAGGTGGAATGTGGTGAAGGGGTTGAGTGGACGAATGGGGTGCGGTGACGGGGTTGGGTGGACAAGTAGGGTGTGGTGACGGGGTTAGGTGGACAGGTGGAGTGTGGTGACAGAGTGATAATGTTGTAGATATGTGAACGAAGTATGGTTGAGGAGTGAAAAGTGTGCGGTGAAGGATTAACAGTATATGTGTGTGTGTGTTGGGCCAGCGTAGGAATAAGTGGGTAGAATGAGATGGGCATTTAGGTAGTGTGGTGAGGGCAAAACAGTAAGCAGTGTCAAGATGCATGAGAAGAACGTGACTTATGGTGATGGAAGGACAGAGTATGGTGAATTGAAGGTCGAAGTATGATGATGAAATGACAGAATAGTGACTAACTGACAGTATGGTGGGTAGGTAATAGGAGTGTGGTGACAGGATTAGGGGGTTATGTAGTATGGTTGGGTAGGTAAAGGAGTGTGGTGGACAGGTAGGCGGAGTGTGGTGACGGGGTGGGCTAGGGTTGATAGGTCAGTAGGCGGGACTGTCTGTTAGAAAGTAAGAGTGAGGACTGGAGCGGCAGACACCAGCCAGCCACCATGACGACCAGTCGGCTGCCTCTCCTCATCTTCTGCCTCGCCTTTGGTCAGTCCACTAACCCACTTTTTCATGTCCTTCACTAAAATATAACAAGAAGCATCACTGCAGACGTAGGTTTAAGCAGAAAATACAAGACCAGTACGAATATAGACTTAAGTATAAAATGTGTATACTGTATATAGTAGAGTGTAAAATGTCTTAGGCGTAAAGCATATACAGACCTTCAGTAATTTTCATATTAATTAAGAAACACCAGTTATAAATTTAGGCTTGGGTATAAGTTATCCCTGGTCAGCAATATCCACATACTGACTGTTATGAAAGTGATGACATAATTCAAATATATGTACGTAAACATATGTACTTTATATTGTTTCCATGCAGTGAATTAGAGCTGTGACTGACAAGCAAATCGCGTTCTATTTTTTCTATATCTTTTCATCCTGGGAGACTTTAAGGAGAAAACAGACAGTTGACACAGAATTACATAGTGTCAGTGCCAGGGGGTGTTGCAGCGGTTGTGGTGGATGTGAAGTGTATGTTGGTGGAGTGCATGACGGGGCAGTGTTAAATGTAGAACGTCTATATACAGTAATGTGGGACTGTCGCTTTCGTTCTGCCTCCTCAGGTATACTTCTTATAATGTTGTCGTCACACTGAACGCCTCTCTCTTCCCCGCCCACCTCTAGTCGTGAGAATAAGTGTATAAATATTCGAAGATAGTTAATGAAATGATAGAACAAATAGGAAAGTCCACAGTCCTCCTGTACTGTATATGTATATATAAAGCGTCATTTGTCCGGTGTGACTGCCCTGCACAAGCCAAACACCAAAGCACATGTACTTCAAATCTGTAGAGCAATATTATCCATTCCATAACTCCTTGACCATGATGGACTACTGTATTATGTTCCAAATGACTGTACCGTTTCTAGCGCTGCTGTATCACTGTTTCCAAATCTCATATTTTCCAATATTATGAAGATTTTAGGGTAAAAAGGAGTCCAGACTTGAACAATGTTTACGAACGCTGTTGTAATCTCTCCGCTATGTGCGACCCCTTTTACCACCCATCCTTTCACATACCCATCCCTCACCCCCTGTCCATCCACGGTCCTTTTATACCACTATCACTATGCACGAAAGACTCGCAGCTACACATCTCACGATGATCAGTTCCCAGGAAAATTCTTCAGAGAACGATATTATGAGAATCGTCATTCAAACGAATTCACTGACGAGAAATACCAGTCTTTCCCGTAAGTAATGTTTCGATGCCGGTCTTCGTTATCGTCGGTAAAGATTCGTTAACTTACAATTTTTCTCAATTTGTTTCCACGTTACCAATCTTTTTTTTTCATATTCTGTCTACTTCAAATAATTTTTATTCAGTCTAGTTCAATCATTTATATTCTGTTTACTTCCAATTATTCATATTCCGTCTGCATTCCGTCCTACATTATACTTGCCTACACAAGTTATCAATATCTTATATATTGTCTTACAAACTGTCTTTTTCTTGTTCTATCGGCTGTCTCAGAATGTTTTGTGTCGGCAACTGAAGTGAAAATCTAGAGTGAACATCGACTCATCACTACTACCACCACTCTCTCCCTTACCACCTCACACACACACACACACGCACACACACTTCACTTTAAATAATGGGTCAAAACTACTACAACCAGTCTTTTGTATATGTAACACCTGCTCTAGCTACTGACCTCTACTGTGTGAACTCTAATGGTGAATATTTTGAGATCCGGGTCATTGAAATAGTGTGTGTGTGTGGACACTCAGCTGGTTGGGAACAGGTTGTAGCCTGGGTGAGCCTGCTCCCTCCTAAGCTGTTCGGTAGCCTCGCACCCCACTTCTTGCCGCGCCTACATAATTTTTTCTCCACTTAACCATGAGACCGCACTCAGGTTTTTTTTTATTGATTCCCTCTAATAAGAAACATTTCAGTTAACTGTGCTTTGGTGTCTTGAGTTAATTCTTTTTAAATGGTATTGATATTATGTGGCTTGTCTGGAATGTCTGGTATTGCTGGGTAGTTGGTAAGTAGGATTGGTAACAATGGAGCTCCAACATGAACGTGGCCTTACCTTCAGATGACCTTCTTATGTCCGCCGCCTCCCTCTCTCCTTTTGAGTTTTATGATCATTTACGTTCATGTCAGTATGGTGGCTCACTCTTACACACCAAGGTTTAATTTCTTTTAAACGAGGCGATATAGCCCAAGTTTGTTGCGCCCCGCACCCACAACCCAACACGCTTTTCTTTTAAGTTAATTCCTAGGAATGGAAGAGTGAAAAACTGAGACAGGATGAGTATTAAATAATAATGTTGTGTTTGGGTTCACGCTGATGGTGTTGTCGACGTTTATTTTTTCACTGTTTTTACTTTGTCCTTTTCACACTCCCGAGTACTCCCATGAAAGTTGGAGCAAACTTACATTGTACTTATCTACGGTCTACATGGTTAGTACTAGGAAGCGAGAGAAATTCTAAGTCTTCTGTTGATCTTTTATCATTATTCTGTTATTATATCATTGGATTGCAGTAAAGCTGTGTTCGATATGTCAACAAATCCAATGTGGCTTCTATTTCCCCGACTCGGTAAAGGTAAAGAGTACTTAACTGTCAACTACCCCAGAAAAAATGGCAAAAGGATAAGTTCTTCATCTGATGAATTCAATTATACAGTATACGGAAAACACTGTGATCGTTAAGGAACAATATTATACAGGATCATTTTTTTATTCGAGAACAAGGAACGTGTACTCACAGGAACAAGGAAGCACCATTTAGTGTGGATCGTCTTGTGATCACCACCAGGAAATTATGAGAACTGAGCTTTCTAAACATTTGTCCTTCATATCATCCACGCACACAAAAAAACTTCTTGCTAAATTCATCTATTGGTAAAAGCCTTTGGTGCTCAATTACTCCAGCAGCTGTAACAATACGGGAAGACAAATGTATAGCCAGTTTGCCTTCAGGTACTGTTCAGTGGGTCAATTTCAGACTTCTGACGTATGGCGCCTGATCCACCTGCCCTAACGGGACGCGAGGGCACGCCAAGGTGATACTCCTGCCAGCCACAAACACCTCCCACAGTAGAACGGCAAGGAGGTAAAGGGGGGGAGGGAGGACATTTACGAGTTCATTAAAAAATAAGTCAAATCTGCTTTGTAACTGACGGAGGAATCGCAAAAATTACTATTCAATTTTAAACTTGGATCATACTTAGGGAGTTTTCCAAAGCAATATGTGATGCGACACCAGTATTTCGTGACCGCTGTCTCCGTTGCAAGTAACCCTGTAAGCCGCAAATGACACTCCGTTTTTGTCTATTATTTGAGTCATGAACAGTGACACAACTTAAATATATGGACAAATATAATTTGTTTATCTAATTCCTATTTTCTAAACTATTATCTTGTGTTGAGAAAATTCAACAGAAACAGTGATACTTATTTTAGTATTCAGAGACAAATAAAACAAACCCGACAACTTATGACATTTTGGCAATATCTTAGCGTCCTGGGAGAGAGAAAAATAGCTTAGTACAGTACAAGGAAGATAGATAGATGGATATTTAAATACCGGAAAACAGTAAGATAAGAAAGATATATATATATATATATATATATATATATATATATATATATATATATATATATATATATATATATATATATATATATATATATATATATATATATATAATAGAGAGAGAGAGAGAGAGAGAGAGAGAGACCTTTCTTGAGTAACGTGGCGTCCTTCAAGGGAACCTGTTGATAAGTTTGATAACGGGCCAAGTGTTGGTGCAAGACATTAAAAATCCCAGAGAATGTCATTGCCTACGTACCTGCCCTAAATGATGAAGTGCCAGGAAATATTAAACACACATTTCTTTATCCTTTCACTTAGGGCACGTGTCACTAACACAGGTCAAATGTAGGTGCTGTACCACCACCAAATACACAGTTAAATAATTGAACGAGTTTACTCTGATTCCACATCTCAATTATTCTCAAAATCTATTCAGAGTTTCTGTATGGTTCTAAAGCGTTGACTGACAGTACAACCCCCATGTTGTGTTTCGTTTTTTTGATTGAGTGACAAAACCGAACCTAATGTAGCTCAGCTAGTCCAGTTAACAGGGTTCAGCCCGATGCATTTTGTTAACGCTGGAATATTGTCTAATGGCCACTTCATTATTATTACGATACTCTGGCTGGAAATGCCACTCAAACTGGTATTTTACTCAAATTGGTGATGCAGCTTATACTGGTGATGTCACTTAGGCTAATGTCATGTAGGTTGACGGTGTAACTCAGGCTGGTCATAATGGCTGACGATGTCACTCAGTTCGTTGATATCACGGCGTCAGGTCACGCGTGGAAAGTTGTGTGGAGGGCGAGTGGTACAGCCTGGTGCGTCGGGGTCACTTTCTTAGGTCGCTAGGGAAGGTGGAAGAAGTGAGTGTGTGTGAGGGGGTGGTACTCGTTAGAGGAGGAGTGTGTGAGGGGGTGATGCTTGATAGAGGAGTGAGTGTGGAGTTGCAAAGGATGTGACAAGGTGGTAGGAGTCGAGGTGATAAGAGGTGTGATGAGGACGGTGGGGTCGTGTAAAGGATGACGGGATGATAGTGTGGTTGGGACAGTTTGGGGGTGGCGTATGGTAGAATGGGTATGCAGGCAGGGGTTAGAGCGGTCGGCGTGGGTCAGCATGAGAAGGTGAGAGAGAGGAGGCTGTAGACAAGGCGGGGGGTGAGGGGGGGGCGGCAGGGAAGGCAATGGAAAGGGAGGGAGAAATGTTAAACTACAGCAAGAGAGGGAAGTCGAGGCATCCGAGGGAGAAAGTTTCCATTCTCTCCAAACATAATTCCACTTAGCTTAAACTTTTCGCTTTCAAGTTGTGAGTTAAAGTCAAATCCCGTTGTCACTTTAAACTATTTGGTCTCGGCTAAAAGTTATAGTTCCATTCCTTAATAAACTTTAGCTCTTCGTTCTCATGTTGAGCGAAAAATAAACTCTC